TTAGTCTTGTAACTGTGCCTCTGACGACTTCAAAGTCCAACTACTAAATTGTAAAAATCAGATCAAATAGATGCTATGTTGTTAGCCTTTGGTTTTTTTCTTGTTCTTTGTATTAAAACTGTTGCTGTACTTAACAGATGAAAGTTTTTAAATTTAGCAAATGATAGGCTACAGACAAAGGAGAATTATGGTTTCATTTGGCTTAGATAAAATGTAAGGCAAAATGATTCTGTAGACAAGTGTAAATAAAACCTGTGAGTCAACTGTGCAGTGGGTGCTTTCTCTTGGAAACATGAGCAAATCTTTCTCTATAACCTATACAAGCAGATTATTTTGTTGTTCTCTGTTACTGCAGTGCAATAAGGGCAGCACGTGCGCTTACCTGGCCATATGCATCATAAATTTTCAGATTGTTTCAGGTTTTTTTAAGTACTGAAAATATGTTTGGATTTAAACAGCAGCACATTTAAAATGAGCTTTTACAAAACTTCAAGGTATTTTCTTCTGTATGTGTTCCATACCTTCTTTTCAGAAAGTTTTTAGAGGAAGCAGTATGTTTAAATTAATTTGGTTTCTACATTTTAAAATGCAAAGGCACAGCGACTATGATAGTTTTTGCATGCCTGTTATCAATGACACAAAATACCTCTTTTTAGTTACTGGATCAGCAAATAAATTAGAACCAAGCTACTAGAACTAAATATGGTCTGCCTCTGATAAGACACAAAGCTAGACTAAGCTCTGGCAGTAAAAAGGTGGGGGTTTACTGTAGTAGGGTGTTTGCATGGGTTTGGGGTGGGGTAGAATTCTCTCCAGTGGCCTAGCAGTGAATTTTTCTATTTCACTAGAAAATACCTCCCTTACCCTCAGTTTAGCTGCTGGGGTCAGATAAATTGCTGCCTATAGAAATAAAAACAGGTATTTCTGTGCAGCTTTATCAAAGATCAGTGAAATTTGGCCAGGAGGGAAGTGTTGATTAGGTTAAGTTTAGGGCTAACATGCATTTCTAAGGAAGATTAAATACATAGTAGTAATAGTAATGGTGGTTTTGTGTAAGCATGCTTCTGTGGTGATTGGAAACTAGAAAGTGAGTCTGAATAAAAGCAGACCAGACTGCAATTTTATATGAATTTGGCAACAGTAAAATTGACTGCTGAAAATGTTGGGTTTTTTCTTCAGATAGATAGTCAATTAATAATAAAAAGCATTAAAATGTACATCTTTAAAACAAGATTGCTTCATTAACAGTTGCCCTGTTGGGTCTGTCTTCTCACTAAGCCCCCAAACTTAAATTTAGTTACAATGAACTACTGCAAGTTAGTTATGCCTAGTGACCTGCAGCATTTTCAGCCTTTTCAGTGCACGAGGCATTAGCTCATTTGCCATCCCTTATTCTGTTGGGGGGGGCTGGGGGGTAGCATGTTGCAGCATGGCTTGGTATTGATGATTAGCAGGGCAGCATTTTAAATGATAGCATTTTAAGCGCAATGGCACTATCATCACTCCACCTTTAGGGAGTAATGAGTGTAAATAACATTTCAAGACTAGTGAAAAACGCTGACGTTGTTGAAGACTCTTACCTGAAACCTAATTTCAGTGTAGCACTGCTAGACAAATGCGGAAGCACAAATACCAGGTAGGGCAGGATAACTTTAAATAGTAATAGTGTATTGTGCCTTTCAGCCAGGTGTCAGAAAAGGCTTCTGAAAAATAAGTTTTGAAAAGCGAGAGGTGACCAATAGAATTGGGCTTTCCTGGGATGGTTCAGGGTGTGAACAGAGGGGTTCAGAGCAGTTTAGTTCTCCTTAACCACCTCACTTGACCTGGTAACAGTGACAAATTAATGTCGTCTTCTGTTAGGAAAGACTTAATGCTCAAGTCCTTTTCAAGTCAGTTGCTAAGATCCTAGAGTGAGTATTCTTATGCAGTATGAAAAGATACTTTAGACAGGAAAAATAGGTTTAAGGGGCAGGCTAGTCCCCCATCCCCTCCGGTCCCAAAAACGCACCCATCACTCTTCTCAGTTAATGGCAACGCCTGAGGATCTGCCTGTCTGTGCGGTTCATTCCTGTCTGAGGAATTCCTCTGCCTTCAGCACTACCTCTGCTTAAGTCTATGTTACAGCTTTCACGTGCTTTTGGGATGGAAACTCTGCAGCCAATGTTTTTAATCAAGTCCATAATTTGTTTTTGGAGCATTAATCAAAATGTACCACTGGTCATAGAACTTTCTGTCTGGAATTCCTTTAACAGAAAGGATTTAAAAAAAAAAAAATCAGAAATAACAGCTAATAGGGTGTTTGTTTCAGGTTGGGTTTTTTGTGGGTTTGGGGGGGGGTTAGGTATGAAAGTATAGATATTTGTGCAAACTTTCAAAATTTGGACAAGGGAGCAACAAGAGGGAGTAATGCTCCTGTAACACTTCAAATACAACAGCGTTGAGCAAAGTCCTGCACAATTTACTAATTTTACCTGTCCTCCCATTGGCAAAAGGAGTACTATTTTTATTGGAAGAAGGTTGCTTACACATCATGCGTTTTTAAAAAAAAAAAAGCAGCCTGTAGAGTGCTTCATACTTAGTTTGGAAAATGAAACTAATGAATTGATGCTTTCTCAGAGGCTGGTTATGGACCCCATCCAGAAATAACAGGCAACTAAGCCAGCAGGGAACATTCCCACCGTAAAACTGCAGGGTGCAAATATCAAGCACAGTACCAAATGATGGCACAAAAACTTCCCTAATGGCAGAGGGGGGGATGCAGCAGACGTGTGCTGAACTCACTGTAGCTCCAAATCAAGGAATCGATGTCAGAATTAAAGAGGGGGGGAAAGGGGGAAAGGATATTTTCCCCTCACGCTTTTCCAGCCTTTCTACTTGCAGCTGTGTTCATCTGAGTTCAGTGTGAATATTGTTCCCAGCACTGGATTTATTTTGCGGATGGCATCTTGCTGTATATCTGCAAGATTAAAAACTCTGGATTCCTGCATTCAAGGACAGATCTCTGCACATGTTATAGAAAGCAGAGAATTAACGAAGAAACCACGGCTCAATAATTTATAAAGCAAACCCTAACTTCTAACATGGTTCTTCTTTATGAGAAATGTGGCTCTTCCCATGTCATGATTTAGCTGTGCACACTTGGTGGTACAAAGTAAAACCTGAGCAGGGCAGTATTTTAAGCTGGACTTTGTTAATGGCCCTTTTCGCAGGAAAAAATGAGTTAAATCCCTAGCGGCAGCTGACTCTACAGAGCAAGATTAGAAATTCCTGCTCATAAGCAAAGAAATTACGATAACATGAAACAAGGATTTGTACTGATAATTAGTGTTGGCTCTCTGACTAGTTGTTACCTATGCTGGGAGCAAAGCTGGGTCCCGCCAAACTCCCGAGACCATGAGAAGGCAGAAATGGCACAAACCTACAGGTGCCTCTATGCAGCGGGTGTTCAGGCTGGCCAGGCACCCTGCTACCTGATAGTTGGGGGTGTTCATTTGTTTATTCGTGGTTAATCAAACCAGTTAAGGGCCGGAGAACAGAGAAACGACTTGATTGAGCCTGAACTGTGCTAAAACAGAGTCTCCGGAGTTAAACAGAACAGGAAAAGAAGGGTGAAAAAGACGACATCGCCCTCATTTGCCACCTCAGCACACCAGGGACGTCCCAGAGCTGCACAGAGGGTGACATTCAGGGGGTTGGGGAGAGGCAGCAACCGGTCAGCGGGAGCGGCTGCCCCCG